AATTATTCCACAAAACAGAAACAGAAGGAACATTGCATAATTCATTTTATGAGGCCACAGTTACCCTGGTACCCAAACAACATAAAGACTCAACAAAGAAAAAATTACAAACCAATTTCCCACATAAACATAGATGCAAAAAACACTCAATAAAATACTTGCAAACTAAATCAAAGAACACATAAAAAAGATTATCCACCATGATCAAGTAGGCTCCATCCCAAAGATGCAGGGATGGTTCAACATACAAAAATCAGCCAATGAACCGAAAGAAAAAAACCCACAATACCATCATCTAATTAGATGCTGACAAAGTCTTTGGCAAAATTCAACACTCATTCATGATAAAAGTCTTAGAGAGATTAGGGATACAAGAGACATACCTAAACATAATGAAGGCAACTTATAGCAAGCAGATAACCAACATCAAATTAAGTGGAAAGAAACTCAAAGCAATTCCACTAAAATCAGGAACAAGGCAAGGCTGTCCTCTCTCTATCTATTCAATATACTACTTGAAGTTCTAGCTAGAGCTATAAAACAAATGAAGGAGATCAAGATGATGCAAATTAGAAAGGAAGAAGTCAATGTATTATTATTTGCAGATGATATGATAGTATACATAAGTGACCCCAAAAATTCTACTAGAGATCTTACAGCTGATAAACACTTTCAGCAAAGTGGCTGGATACCAGATTAACTCAAAAAAATCAGTAGCCCTCTAATATACAAATGACAAATGGACTGAGAAAGAAATCAGAAAAATAACACCCTTCACAGTAGCCATAAATAATATAAAATATCTTAGAGTCTCTAACCAAGCAAGTGAAAGACTTGTATGATGAAAACTTCAAAGATGTGCAGAAGATAATAGAAGAGGGAAAGATGCCTCCATGCTCATAGATTGGCAGGATTGACATAGTAAAAAATAGCCATTCTACCAAAAGCAATCTACAGATTCAATGCACTTTATATCAAAATTCCAACACAATTCTTTACAGACCTTGAGAGGACAACACTCAACTTCATATGGAAAAACAAAAAACCCAGGATAGCCAAAACAATCCTGAACAATAGTAAACTTCTGGAGGTATCACCATTCCTGATTTTAAGCAGTACTACAGACCTATAGCAATAAAAACCACATGGTATCGATAAAAACAAACACATTGATCAATGGAAATGAATTGAAGACCCAGGCATAAATCCACACACTTATGGACACCTGAGTTTTGCTAAAGAAGCCAGAAATACACAATGGAAAAAAGAAAGCATCTTCAACAAATGGTGCTGGTCTAACTGGATGTCTGCATGTAGGAAGAATGCAAATAGATCCACATTTATCACCCTGGATAAAACTCCAGTCCAAGTGAATCAAAGACCTCAACATAAAACCAGATACACTAAACTTGATAGAAGAGAAAGTGGAAAATAGCCTTGAATGCATTTGCTCAGGAGACAACTTCCTGAACAGAACACCAATAGCTCAGACACCAAGATTAATAAATGGGACCTCATATGCCGGGCGGTGGTGGCGCACGCCTTTAATCCCAGCACTCGGGAGGCAGAGCCAGGCGGATCTCTGTGAGTTCGAGGCCAGCCTGGGCTACCAAGTGAGTTCCAGGAAAAGGCACAAAGCTACACAGAGAAACCCTGTCTCGAAAAACCAAAATAAATAAATAAATAAATAAATGGGACCTCATGAAACTAAAAAGCTTCTGTAAGGCAAAGGACACCATCAATAGGACAAAATGGCAGTCTACAGAATGGGAAAAGATTTTTACCAACTCCACAACTGATAGAGGGTTAATATCCAAAATATGTAAAGAACACAAGGAACTAGACATCAACAAACCAAATAAGCCAATTAAAAAATGGGGTACAGATCTAAACAGAGAATTCTCAACAGAAGACTCTTAAATGGTTGAGAAACACCTAAAGAAATGTCTAACATTCTTAGCCATCAGGGAAATGCAAATCAAAACTAATTTGAGATTCTATTTTACACCTGTCAGCATGGCTAAGATCAAAAACACAAGTGGCAGTTCATGCTGGTGAGGATGTGGAGCAAGGGGAACACTCCTCCATTGCTGGTGGGAGCGCAAACTTGTACAGCCACTCTGGAACTTAATATAGCACTTCCTCAGAAAGTTGGGAATCAATCTACCTTAAGATCCAGATATACCACTCTTAGGCATATACCCAAAGGATGCTCCATGCTCCATAAGGACACTTGCTCAACCATGTTCATTTCAGCTTTATTCATAATAGCCAGAAACTGAAAACTGGATGTCCTTCAACTGAAGACTAAAAAAGAAAATGTGGTGGTACATTTACAAAATGGAATATCACTCAACTGTCAAAAAAAAATAAAAAAACTGACATCATGAAATTCACAGGCAAATGGATGGAATTAGAAAAATATCATCCTGAATGAGGTAACACAGAACCAGAAAGACAAATACAGTATATACTCACTTATAAGTAGATAGTAGCTGTTACCTCCATGATAACAAGGCTACAATCCAGAGACGCAGAAAGACTAAGTAACAAGGAAGGTTCAAGTTGGCCAAGTGAGGGATTACATCTTGTAGATTAATTCTGGACTCACTACTGTGAAAAATCTCATAGGAAGTAGAATTAGGATGCTTCTAATGACATCATTATTCTTATGGACACCCAAATAAGAATGAATGCAAGTGAATGGACTTAAAAAAAAAAAAAAAAAGCACTGGGGTGGCAAGATGGTTCAGAGGGTGAAGGTCCTTGCCTCCAAGCCTAATAACTTGAGTATGGGCCTCAAAACACACATGGTAGAAGGACAGAACAAACTCCATTAAGTTATCCCTCTGAAATCCACATGTGCAATGTGATCTCTCTCTCTCTCTCTCTCTCTCTCTCTCTCTCTCTCTCTCTCTCCCTCTCTCTCTCTCTCTCATACACACAGAAAGAAAGAGAGAGGAAGGAAGGTAAGTAGACAGACAGACAGACAAAAAAACATAAGCATCTAGCTGGGAGTGGTGTTTTACTGCTGTAATCTAAGCAGGAGTCTGAGGGAGGAGGATCACACATGTCAAAGAACAAAAGACAAATGAACCTGCACCCAAACAACCTCAAAACAAGCACCCGGCATGTACACCAGTGGAAGACCAAGACTCTTCCTATTAAATCTAAGTCATCTTCTGTGGTCTCTAATTTAGTAAAATTGTTATATTAAAAAATATATAAGAGAACTTAAGAATTATTAAGTATACATCTGACCACAAACTCAATTCAATTCATTTTAGAGTACAGTTTCTTCCAGTGTTAAGTGAAGGAGAAATACCAGGTGACTTCTTACATCCCTAGCTTTGACAGTCAAATAGTTACCTTTCTGTTCCTCTTCACTGTCACTCTCTAAAAATCTAGAGTCCATTCGGAATCGTTCATCACTTCCAAAATGAGACTGCAAATCCATGAGCTACGTGGGAAAAACACTGTCATGATAAGTGCATTTTGAAAGAGTCTCTAGTGTACCTCCTCACACTCTGAAATTCTCTTGCCATCTACACAGCCGCACTATCAACCAGTAAGAGGTGAGAGGATTCACTCCCACAAAAATTACCCCACACTGGAACTGCACCCTTTCCTTAAGGAGAGTTAAGGACTACCTTCAAAACATAGACATGCTGCAACTGGTTCCATTTTCAGTCTTCACTAACCTTCTGGCCAGCTCTGCCCTCAAACTGAGGCTTAATGTTGAACCTGGTGCTGTCCTCCTTGGAATCTGATTCTTCATCATCACTGCTGTCAAATAACTTCCCAGATGCTTTACCCAAAGATTCCTGTTATACAGATAAAAGAAATGTTTATTAACTGAAATAATCAGCATTTTCCTCATAATGTGGGATCTCTGTGAGTTGAGACCAACCTGGTCTACAGAGAGAGTTCCAGGACAGTCAAGGCTACACAAAGAAACTCTGTCTCGAAAAAACAAAACAAAACAAAAAACCAACAACCCAGATGCATCTACAGAAACAAGTATGTGGTACTGACTCAGAAATAGTTAACTGGACTACTAGATCATTAATTCACACACTCCCTGTTGCCACTTGGGTTTGAGGAATAATTACCACATGCAAAAACACTCCCTACAGACTAGCATGAATACTGATGAGACTTTGCATAAGGTAGCAAACAGTTTCACGGGTGAGAAAAATCTCCAAGACCCCTGACATTTCAGGGTATGGTGGCTTGGGCAACTCTGGATCTCACTGCAGTCCCTACGATTTTATGAAGAAGTAGTAGCTGTGTGGAGCTCTTGTTAGACAACAGACTTGACAGCTGGTGTGTTGGTATACATTGTAGTATCAGACTGATGCAGAACTTTTCAAAGCTTAATGGCAGCCTAGGATACCCAACATTCCCACCACAAAAAGAAAAACAGGGCAGGGAATCTGCAAAGTAGATTAATATTTGGAAGGCTTACCTTCACCAGCTCTTTCCCTGGACAGTTTTGCTCAGGAGTGGATGTCTCTTCCGTTTCACTTTCATTATCAGAAGCAAAGACAATGTGTGTTTTTTTGTTCTCTGGATGACCATCCTAGTGAAACACAAGCAGCATCACATTTCAAGACAGCCAACTGTATACTCATATCCACATCGATCATCTTCTCCCATCATTTATCCTTCTTTGCCTTATTCCAGGAATACCATTATCATCTGCTATTTTTCCAAGACAGAAACTCAGGCCTCCTTTCTCTCTATACTCAGTAACCACTGAACTCTATTAATTTGACCTCAGTATCTTTAAGAACTACCATTGCTGTGGCTGTGGCACTTGACCTCTAAAAGGTTCTCCTTGCTTCCAGATCTGACTCCATTATGTTTATTGTTTATGCCATGGCCTGAAGGATCTCTAAAACAGAGGCTGAAAAATTTTATCTGTAAAGGTACAGACTAAATATCTCAGACACTGCTGGCAGGTCACCGTTTTTGTTGTGTGTTAAAAAGCTATTTCTGTTGAAGAACCAAGAAGGGTGAGTCTGATGAAGCAAGACTTTGCTGATACATCCCTCCTAGACAAAGGGGTGGGTTTCTTATTGGAGAAACCCACAGGGTGGACTGTACTACCCAACATTAAAAAAAAAACAAAAATTTCTGCTGGATGCTCTGTGTATTGTAAAATGCCAACTCCTATTCCAAAATGTACACAACTAGCCAGGCATAGTGGCGCACGCCTTTAATCCCAGTACTCGGGAGGCAGAGGCAGGCAGATCTACGTGAGTTCCAGGACAGCCAGGGTTACACAGAGAACTGTCTCAAAAAAAAAACCAAACCAAACCAAA